GGTCACGGGACAGACCCAGCAGGTGCCGTGGGTTGACTGCTGTGCCAGGCTAGGTGCAGGAGGTCACGGGACAGACCCAGGTGACGTGGGTTGACTGCTGTGCCAGGCTAGGTGCAGGATGTCACGGGATAGTAGTGTAGTGGTTAGCGCTACGAACCCGGCGACCCGAGTTCGATTCCCCATCACAGCCAACATCAGTGACGATTATTTGAACCGGTCCCGGGCCTCCCCTAGGTCGACTCAGCCTCAAATGATTACCTGGTGTAGCGGTGTGTAGTAAACATCGTCACTAGGGAGACAAACGGGGCCCGGCGTGACGTTGGCCACCCACCCCCTCGTGTGCCGTGCCGGCCTTCATAGGTGCTCGCTAACAGCACTTGCCTCTACAGTCTGTTAAGGCTAAATGGGGGATCTTTGTCTTTGTGTGCCTATTTGTGTCTGTGTGTCTCTTGTGTGTGTCTGCGTGTCTCTATGTGTGTGTCTGTGTGTGTCTCTGTGTGTGTGTCTCTGTGTGTGTCTCTGTGTGTCTCTGTGTGTATGTCTCTGTGTGTGTCTGTGTGTGTCTGTGTGTGTCTCTGTGTGTGTGTCTGTGTGTCTCTGTGTGTGTGTCTGTGTGTGTCTCTCTGTGTGTGTGTCTGTGTGTGTGTGTGTCTTTGTGTGTGTGTCTGTGTGTGTGTCTCTGTGTGTGTGTCTGTGTGTGTGTCTGTGTGTGTGTCTCTGTGTGTGTGTCTGTGTGTCTCTGTGTGTGTGTCTGTGTGTGTCTCTGTGTGTGTGTCTGTGTGTCTCTGTGTGTGTCTGTGTGTGTCTCTCTGTGTGTGTGTCTCTGTGTGTGTGTCTGTGTGTGTGTCTGTGTGTGTGTCTCTGTGTGTGTGTCTGTGTGTCTCTGTGTGTGTGTCTGTGTGTGTCTCTCTGTGTGTGTGTCTGTGTGTGTGTGTCTCTGTGTGTGACCGGCTCCAGTTTTACAGCAGAGGTCTCACACTCCGAATCAGTCGAGCGGCAATATCTTTTCATCGGTTGCGTAACGCTGTGTGGAAGCTACCTGGTCTGTCGCTCCGCACTAAGCTTCGGGTCTTCTCGGCCACGGTCATTCCCTCCCTTCTCTACCCTTGCGAAACGTGGACCCCCCTAATGGAACATCTTCGCCGGTTAGAAAAATTTAAGCTGGCCTGCCTACGATCCATCCTGGGTTAACCAGACTGGATTGTGTGAGGAGCTCACAAATCCTTGCAAGATCTGGGCAAGGTCCCATCGGTGAGCTCCTCAGGCGGGCAAGGCTGCGATGGCTGGGTCATGTAGCCCGCATGCCCAGCCACCGCATGCCGAACAGCTTTTGTTCGGCCGGATCGAGGGGGCTAAACGGGCGCGGCACGGGCTAGAGAAGAGATGGAGTGATGTGGTACAGGAGGACGTGGAGCTGAGTGGACTTGCCGATGACTCGTACCAGCCGTGTCAAGATCGGCCTCTGTGGAGGAGGCTCGTGAAGGATGCTACTGGGCAGTTGGAGGTAGTCGCCCTCCGACAACAACGGAGGGCGGAGGAGCGACGCTCACAACAACGAGCGGAGCGCCGGGTGGCTAAAGCACAGCAGGTTGGCACAGTAGGGGGCACAGGTGGTGCATCGACCAGTCATCTTAGTCAGTCGACCCGTGGCACCTGGGTCTGCCCCGTGACCTCCTGCCAGCGGGCGTTCGACACTCCACGTGTAGCGGTTAGCGCGCTCCGCTATGAACCTGGCGACCCGGGTTCGATTCCCGCTCACGGCCAACACCAGTGACGATTATCTGAACCGGTCCCGGACCTCCCCTAGGTCGACTCAGCCTCAAATGAGTACCTGGTGCGGTGTGTAAACATTGCCACTAGGGAGGCAAAGGCGGTCGGGCGTGGTGCTGGCCACCCACCCCCTCGTGTGCCGTGCCGGCCTTCATAGGTGCTCGCTAACAGCACTTGCCCCTACAGTCTGTTAAGGCTAAATGGGTGATATTTGATATTTGTGTATGGTACAGATATAATGGGAGGCTGATCGATGCCCGGGTGCGGTCAAGGGATGGCTCCCTATTACTCAACCACGTTATGTATGCCGATGATTTGGTAATAGCTGCTCATTCAGAGGAGGAGTTGGAGACGCTGCTGCTGAGACTGGAGCGTGCCACTAAGAGATGGGGCCTTACCATCAGCCCCACCAAAACTAAGCACCTGCCTGGGTATTTTGTACCATCGGACACTCCACCCCCACAACTCCCAATCGGTGATGGGGCAGTTGTGGAGAGAGTGGAGAGTTTCCCATGTTGGTGATGATGTTGATGATGTTGGTGATGATGTTGGTTGGTGATGTTGATGAAGATGTTGGTGATGATGTTGATGATGTTGGTGATGATGTCGGTGATGTTGGTGGTGATGTTGATGATGTTGGTGATGATGTTGGTGATGTTGGTGGTGATGTTGGTGGTGATTTTGGTGGTGATGTTGGTGATTGTTTTGGTGATGTTGGTGATGATGTTGATGATGTTGGTGATGATGTTGGTTGGTGATGTTGGTGATGTTGGTGATGATGTTGGTGATGGTTTTGGTGATGTTGGTGATGTTGGTGATGGTTTTGGTGATGTTGGTGGTGATGTTGATGATGTTGGTGATGATGTTAGTGATGTTGGTGATGATGTTGGGGATGATGTTGCTGATGGTTTTGGTGATGTTGGTGATGTTAGTGATGGTTTTGGTTATGTTGGTGATGTTGGTGATGGTTTTGGTGATGTTGGTGGTGATGTTGATGATGTTGGTGATGATGTTGGTGATGATGTTGGTGATGATGTTGGTTGGTGATGTTGGTGATGATGTTGGGGATGATGTTGGTGATGGTTTTGGTGATGTTGATGATGTTGGTGATGATGTTGGTGATGTTGGTGATGATGTTGGTTGGTGATGTTGGTGATGATGATGGGGAGGATGTTGGTGATGGTTTTGGTGATGTTGATGATGTTGGTGATGATGTTGGTGATGTTGGTGATGATGTTGGGGATGATGTTGGTGATAGTTTGGTGATGTTGGTGATGTTGGTGATGGTTTTCGTGATGTTGGTAATGTTGGTGATGGTTTTGGTGATGTTGGTGGTGATGTTGATGATGTTGGTGATGATGTTGGTGATGATGTTGGTGATAATGTTGGTTGGTGATGTTGGTGATGATGTTGGGGATGATGTTGGTGATGGTTTTGGTGATGTTGATGATGTTGGTGATGATGTTGGTGATGTTGGTGATGATGTTGGTGATGATGTTGGTGATGGTTTTGGTGATGTTGGTGATGGTTTTGGTGATGTTGGTGATGTTGGTGATGTTGGTGATGGTTTTGGTGATGTTGGTGATGATGTTGGTGGTGATGTTGGTGATGGTTTTGGTGATGTTGGTGATGGTTTTGGTGATGTTGGTGATGTTGGTGATGTTAGTGATGGTTTTGGTGATGTTGGTGATGATGTTGGTGGTGATGTTGGTGATGGTTTTGGTGATGTTGGTAATGGTTTTGGTGATGTTGGTGATGATGTTGGTGGTGATGTTGGTGATGGTTTTGGTGATGTTGGTGATGGTTTTGGTGATGTTGGTGATGGTTTTGGTGATGTTGGTGATGGTTTTGGTGATGTTGGTGATGGTTTTGGTGATGTTGGTGATGTTGGTGGTGATGTTGGTGATGATGTTGGTGATGGTTTTGGTGATGTTGGTGATGGTTTTGTTGATGTTGGTGATGTTGGTGGTGATGTTGGTGATGATGTTGGTGATGATGTTGGTGATGGTTTTGGTGATGTTGGTAATGTTGGTGATGGTTTTGGTGATGTTGGTGATGGTTTTGGTGATGTTGGTGATGATGTTGATGATGTTGGTGATGATGTTGGTGATGGTTTTGGTGATGTTGGTGATGGTTTTGGTGATGTTGGTGATGGTTTTGGTGATGTTGGTGATGGTTTTGGTGATGTTGGTGATGGTTTTGGTGATGTTGGTGATGGTTTTGGTGATGTTGGTGATGGTTTTGGTGATGTTGGTGATGTCCTTCAGCTCGCAACCTTCACAGCTGACGCCGCGCTCTGTGACGCAGAACGGCACGGAGTGATGGGGGCCATGGGGGAGTCACGTGGGGCCATGGGGGAGTCACGTGGGGCCATGGGGGAGACACGTGGAGACACGCGGAGACTTAGAGACACGGGGAGACACGCGGAGACACGGGGAGACAGGCGCAGAGAATCGGAGATATTCTAACCACACCATCACCACCACCACCATCATCATCATAATCACCAGCACCACCACTATCACCACCACCACCATCATCATCACCACCTGCACCACCACCCTCAACATCATCATCATCACTTGCACCACCACCCTCAACATCATCATCATCACCTGCACCACCACCCTCAACATCATCACCTGCACCACCACCCTCAACATCATCATCATCATCACCTGCACCACCACCCTCAACATCATCACCTGCACCACCACCCTCAACATCATCATCACCTGCACCACCACCCTCAACATCATCATCATCATCACCTGCACCACCACCCTCAACATCATCACGTGCACCACCACCCTCAACATCATCATCACCTGCACCACCACCCTCAACAACATCATCAACACCAGCACCACCACCCTCAACATCATCATCACCTGCACCACCACCCTCAACATCATCATCATCTGCACCACCACCCTCAACATCATCATCACCTGCACCACCACCCTCAACATCATCATCACCTGCACCACCACCCTCAACAACATCATCATCACCACCACCACCACCCTCAACATCATCATCACCTGCACCACCACCCTCAACATCATCATCATCACCTGCATCACCACCCTCAACATCATCATCACCAGCACCACCATCCTCAACATCATCATCACCTGCACCACCACCCTCAACATCATCACCACCACCACCCTCAACATCATCATCATCACCTGCACCACCACCACCCTCAACATCACCACCACCACCACCACCACCGTCACCGTCACCGCCATGCAGAGAGACCTCGCCGGCACTCTGATCGCCATCAGCGGCTGGGCGTGCATCGGCACCACCGTGACCAACGACTTCTGGAAGACGTCTACGGTGGCGGGGAGCGTGGTGACGGCCAACACCGTCTACGAGAACTTGTGGACGTCGTGTGGCACCGACTCAATGGGCGTCTCCAACTGCAGGGACTTCGACTCCTTGCTGAACCTGCCGGGTCAGGCGGACGACACGAACACGGCCACGATCACCGCAACTAGCACCGTTACTACTGCTACTACCAGCAGTACTACCACTACTAACATCATAACAACCACCACCTTCACCAGCACCACCACTACCACCACTACTACCACCACCACAACCACCACTACTACCACAACTACAACAACTAGCACCGTTACTACTACTACTAACAACGGCAGCAGTACTACCACCACTATCACCACCTTCACTAGCACCACCACTACCACCACTACTACCACAACTAGCACCGTTACTAATATTACTAACACCACCACCACTACTAACACCATAACAACCACCACCTTCACTAGCACCACCACTACCACCACTACTACAAGCACCACAACCACCACTACTAACACAACTACCACAACTAGCACCGTTACTACTACTACTAACACCACCACCACCACTACCACCACTACTACCACAACTACCGCAACTAGCACCGTTACTAATACTACTAACACCACCAGCAGTACTACCACCACTATCACCACCTTCACTAGCACCACCACTACTACCACAACTACCACAACTAGCACCATTACTACTACTACTAACACCACCAGCAGTACTACCACCACTATCACCACCTTCACTAGCACCACCACTACCACCACTACTACCACAACTAGCAGCGTTACTAATACTACTAACACCACCAGCAGTACTACCACTACTAACACCATAACAACCACCACCTTCACTAGCACCACCACTACCACCACTACTACAACCACAACAACCACCACTACTACCACAACTAGCACCGTTACTACTACTACTACCAGCAGTACTACCACTACCACCACCTTCACTAGCACCACCACTACCAGCACTACTACCACCACCAGCACTACCACCACTACTACCACAACTACTAACACCACCACAACCACCACTATTACCACCACTACTACCACTACTACCACCACTATCACCACCACAACCACCACCACTACCATCACTACTACCACAACTACCGCAACTAGCACCGTTACTACTACTACTAACACCACCAGCAGTACTACCACCACTATCACCACCTTCACTAGCACCACCACTACCACCACTACTACCACAACTAGCACCATTACTACTACTACTAACACCACCAGCAGTACTACCACCACTATCACCACCTTCACTAGCACCACCACTACCACCACTACTACCACAACTAGCAGCGTTACTAATACTACTACCAGCAGTACTACCACCACTAACACCATAACAACCACCACCTTCACTAGCACTACCACTACCACCACTACTACAACCACCACAACCACTACTACTACCACAACTACCACAACTAGCACCGTTACTACTATTACTACCAGCAGTACTACCACCACCTTCACTAGCACCACCACTACCAGCACTACTACCACCACCAGCACTACCACCACTACTACCACAACTACTAACACCACCACAACCACCACTATTATCACCACTACTACCACTACTACCACCACTATCACCACCACCACCACAACCACCACCACTACCACCACTACTACCACAACTACCACAACTAGCACCATTACTACTACTACCGCCAGCAGCAGTACTACCACTACCACCACCTTCACTAGCACCACCACTACCACCACTACCACCAGCACTACCACCAGCAGTACTACCACCACCACTACTAACACCACCACAACCACCACAACTAGCACCATTACTACTACCAGCAGTACTACCACCACAACAACCACCACCTTCACTAGCACCACTAGCACTACCACCAGCAGTACTACCACCACCACTACTACCACAACTACCACAACTAGCACCATTACTACTACTAACACCAGCAGCAGTACTACCACCACAACAACCACCACCATCACTAGCACTACCACCAGCAGTACTACCACCCCTACCACCACCATTACTAACACCACCAGCACTACCACCACCCCTACCACCACCACCACCACTACTACCACAACTACTAACACCACCACAACCACCACAACTAGCACCATTACTACTACTAACACCAGCAGTACTACCACCACTATCACCACCTTCACTAGCACCACTACCACCACTATCACCACCATCAGCACTACCACCACTACTACCACAACTACCACAACTAGCACCATTACTACTACTAACACCACCAGCAGTACTACCACCACTACCACCAGCAGTACTACTACAACAACAACCACCACCTCCACTAGCACCACTAGCACTACCACCAGCACTTCCACCACCACCACCACTACTACCACAACCACCACAACTACCACCATCACCACTACCACCACCACCACTACTACCACCACCAGCACTACCACCACTACTACCACAACTACTAACACCACCACAACCACCACCACTACCACCACTACCACCACTACTACCACAACTACCACAACTAGCACCATTACTACCACCACCACTACCACCACTACTACCACAACCACCACCACGACCATCACAACCACCACCACCACCAGCAGCACTACCACCACCGGCAATTCCACCACCACTACTACCACCACTACTACCAGCAGCACTACCACCAGCACTACCACCACCACTTACACCACCACTACTACCACCACCACCAGCAGCACCACCACCACCAACACCTCCACCTCTACTACCACCACCAGCACTACTACTACTACCACCACCACTACTACCACCGCTACTACCAGCAGCACTACCACCAGCACTACCACCACCACTAACACCACCACTACCACCACCACCACCAGCAGCACCACCACCACCAACACAACCACCTCTACTACCACCACCAGCACTACCACTAGCACTAACACCACCACTACTACAACCACCACCAGCAGCACCATCACCACCAGCACCACCAACACAACCACCTCTACTACGACCACCACCAGCACTACCACTACCACCACCACGAACACCACCACTACTACCACCACCAGCACTACCACCACCGGTACGATGTTGACGATTGTATTCTCGATACAAACAAATGCTGACGATGGCGTCGATCCTAAGACCCGTTCGTCAGTTCGGAGCGAGTTTAGTTCCATAGGTGAGCGAGTTGCTGGTTCTGTGGGTGAGTGAGTTGCTGGTTCTGTGGGTGAGTGGTTCTGTAGGTGAGTGAGTTGCTGGTTCTGTGGGTGAGTGAGTTGCTGGTTCTGTGGGTGAGTGGTTCTGTAGGTGAGTGAGTTGCTGGTTCTGTGGGTGAGTGAGTTGCTGGTTCTGTGGGTGAGTGAGTTGCTGGTTCTGTAGGTGAGTGAGTTGCTGGTTCTGTGGGTGAGCGAGTTGCTGGTTCTGTGAGTGAGTTAGTTGCTGGTTCTGTGGGTGAGTAAGTTGCTGGTTCTGTGGGTGAGTGAGTTGCTGGTTCTGTGGGTGAGCGAGTTGCTGGTTCTGTGGGTGAGCGAGTTGCTGGTTCTGTGGGTGAATGGTTCTGTGGGTGAATGAGTTGATGGTTCTGTGGGTGAATGAGTTGCTGGTTGTGTGGGTGAGTGAGTTGCTGGTTCTGTAGGTGAGTGAGTTGCTGGTTCTGTGGGTGAGTGAGTTGCTGGTTCTGTGGGTGAGTGAGTTGCTGGTTCTGTAGGTGAGTGAGTTGCTGGTTCTGTAGGTGAGTTGCTGGTTCTGTAGGTGAGTGAGTTGCTGGTTCTGTGGGTGAGTGAGTTTCTAGTTCTGTGGGTGAGTGAGTTGCTGGTTCTGTAGGTGAGTTGCTGGTTCTGTAGGTGAGTTGCTGGTTCTGTAGGTGAGTGAGTTGCTGGTTCTGTGAGTGAGTGAGTTTCTAGTTCTGTGGGTGAGTGAGTTGCTGGTTCTGTAGGTTAGTGAGTTGCTGGTTCTGTGGGTGAATGGTTCTGTGGGTGAATGAGTTGCTGGTTCTGTGGGTGAATGAGTTGCTGGTTCTGTGGGTGAATGAGTTGCTGGTTCTGTGGGTGAGTGAGTTGCTGGTTCTGTAGGTGAGTGAGTTGCTGCTTCTGTGGATGAGTGAGTTGCTGGTTCTGTGGGTGAGTGAGTTGCTAGTTCTGTGGGTGAGTGAGTTGCTGGTTCTGTGGGTGAGTGAGTTGCTGGTTCTGTGGGTGAGTGAGTTGATGGTTCTATGGGTGAGTGAGTTGCTGGTTCTCGAGGTGAGTGAGTTGCTGGTTCTGTGGGTGAGTGAGTTGCTGGTTCTGTGGGTGAGTGAGTTGCTGGTTCTGTAGGTGAGTGAGTTGCTGGTTCTGTGGATGTGTGAGTTGCTGGTTCTGTAGGTGAGCGATTTGCTGGTTCTGTAGGTGAGTGAGTTGCTGGTTCTGTGGGTGAGTGAGTTGCTGGTTCTGTAGGTGAGCGAGTTGCTAGTTCTGTGGGTGAGTGAGTTGCTGGTTCTGTAGGTGAGTGAGTTGCTAGTTCTGTGGGTGAGTTAGTTGCTAGTTCTGTAGGTGAGTGAGTTGCTGGTTCTGTGGGTGAGTGAGTTGCTAGTTCTGTAGGTGAGTGAGTTGCTGGTTCTGTGGGTGAGTGAGTTGCTGGTTCTGTGGGTGAGTGAGTTGCTGGTTCTGTGGGTGAATGGTTCTGTGGGTGAGTGAGTTGCTGGTTCTGTGGGTGAATGGTTCTGTGGGTGAGTGAGTTGATGGTTCTGTAGGTGAGCGAGTTACTGGTTCTGTGGGTGAATGGTTCTGTGGGTGCATGAGTTGATGTATCTGTGGGTGAGCGAGTTGCTAGTTCTGTGGGTGAGCGAGTTGCTAGTGCTGCGGCCGAGCGAGTTGCTGGTTCTGTGGGTGAATGGTTCTGTGGGTGAATGAGTTGATGGTTCTGTAGGTGAACGAGTTGCTGGTTCTGTGGGTGAGTGAGTTGCTGGTTCTGTGGGTGAATGGTTCTGTGGGTGAATGAGTTGCTAGTTCTGTGGGTGAGCGAGTTGCTAGTGCTGCGGCCGAGCGAGTTGCTGGTTCTGTGGGTGAATGGTTCTGTGGGTGAATGAGTTGATGGTTCTGTAGGTGAACGAGTTGCTGGTTCTGTGGGTAAGTGAGTTGCTGGTTCTGTGGGTGAATGGTTCTGTGGGTGAATGAGTTGCTAGTTCTGTGGGTGAGCGAGTTGCTAGTGCTGCGGCCGAGCGAGTTGCTGGTTCTGTGGGTGAATGGTTCTGTGGGTGAATGAGTTGATGGTTCTGTAGGTGAACGAGTTGCTGGTTCTGTGGGTAAGTGAGTTGCTGGTTCTGTGGGTGAATGGTTCTGTGGGTGAATGAGTTGCTAGTTCTGTGGGTGAGCGAGTTGCTAGTGCTGCGGCCGAGCGAGTTGCTGGTTCTGTGGGTGAATGGTTCTGTGGGTGAATGAGTTGATGGTTCTGTAGGTGAACGAGTTGCTGGTTCTGTGGGTAAGTGAGTTGCTGGTTCTGTGGGTGAATGGTTCTGTGGGTGAATGAGTTGCTAGTTCTGTGGGTGAGCGAGTTGCTAGTGCTGCGGCCGAGCGAGTTGCTGGTTCTGTGGGTGAATGGTTCTGTGGGTGAATGAGTTGATGGTTCTGTAGGTGAACGAGTTGCTGGTTCTGTGGGTAAGTGAGTTGCTGGTTCTGTGGGTGAATGGTTCTGTGGGTGAATGAGTTGCTAGTTCTGTGGGTGAGCGAGTTGCTAGTGCTGCGGCCCGAGCGAGTTGCTGGTTCTGTGGGTGAATGGTTCTGTGGGTGAATGAGTTGATGGTTCTGTAAGTGAACGAGTTGCTGGTTCTGTGGGTAAGTGAGTTGCTGGTTCTGTGGGTGAATGGTTCTGTGGGTGAATGAGTTGCTAGTTCTGTGGGTAAGTGAGTTGCTGGTTCTGTGGGTGAATGGTTCTGTGGGTGAATGAGTTGATGGTTCTGTGGGTGAGCGAGTTGCTAGTTCTGTGGGTGAGCGAGTTGCTAGTGCTGCGGCCGAGCGAGTTGCTGGTTCTGTGGGTGAATGGTTCTGTGGGTGAATGAGTTGATGGTTCTGTAGGTGAACGAGTTGCTGGTTCTGTGGGTAAGTGAGTTGCTGGTTCTGTGGGTGAATGGTTCTGTGGGTGAATGAGTTGCTAGTTCTGTGGGTAAGTGAGTTGCTGGTTCTGTGGGTGAATGGTTCTGTGGGTAAGTGAGTTGCTGGTTCTGTGGGTGAATGGTTCTGTGGGTGAGCGAGTTGCTAGTGCTGCGGCCGAGCGAGTTGCTGGTTCGGCTAGCACGACACCCCCTCCCCCCCATCACCACCTCCCCCATGTGGCTGCTACCCCGCAGGCTTCATCCAGGCGTGCCGGGCCCTCGTCATCACGGCCGTCATCCTGGGCTTCTTCGCGAGCCTCCTCGCCTTCCTGGGCATGCAGTGCACCTCGCTGCTGGCCGTCGACGTCACCACAAAGGGGCGCATCACCTTCGCCGGGGGGGTCATCTACATCATGGAAGGTGGCTCGCCCACTGCTTCGACCCTGAGTAGCTCCGGGTCTCAGTCGGAGCTCCGACACTGAGACCCGGTAGCTCTGAGTCTCAGTTGGCGCTCCGACACTGAGACCCGGTAGCTCCGTGTGTGTATGTGTGTGTGTGCCACCCCGCGTGTGTGTTTGTGTGCCACCCTGCGTGTGTGCCACCCTGCGTGTGTGTATGTGTGTGTGTGCCACCCCGCGTGTGTGTTTGTCTGCCACCCTGCGTGTGTGCCACCCTGTGTGTGTGTATGTGTGCCAACGCTCGCGTGTGTGTGTGTGTGCCACCCCGCGTGTGTGTGTGTGTGTGCCACCCCGCGTGTGTGTATATGTGCCAACCCGTGCATGTGTATGTGTGCCACCCTGCGTGTGTGTGTGTGTGTGCCAACCCGTGCGTGTGTATGTGTGCCACCCTGCGTGTGTGCCACCCCGCGTGCGTGTGCCAGGGCTGTCCGCGCTGATCGCCATCTCGTGGTACGCCACCCAGGTCGTCAACGAATTCTTTGACCCTCTCTTCCCGGGCACCAAGTGAGGGCCGAGTTGTGACGCGGGGGGTGGGGGGTCGTGGCGGTGGGGCCTGGCGCAGTGCCGCCCGGCGTCGGGCAACGTCAACCTCACCCACCGTCAACATCACTCACTCAACAACCTCACCCACCGTCAACATCACTCACTCAACAACCTCGCTCGTTGTCAACTTCACTCAACAACCTCACCCACCGTCAACATCACTCACTCAACAACCTCGCTCATTGTCAACTTCACTCAACAACCTCACCCACCGTCAACATCACTCACTCAACAACCTCGCTCATTGTCAACTTCACTCAACAACCTCACCCACCGTCAACATCACTCACTCAACAACCTCGCTCATTGTCAACTTCACTCAACAACCTCACTCATTGTCAACTTCACTCACTCAACAACCTCGCTCATTGTCAACTTCACTCAACAACCTCGCTCATTGTCAACATCACTCACTCAACAACCTCGCTCATTGTCAACATCACTCACTCAACAACCTCACTCATTGTCAACTTCACTCAACAACCTCACCCACCGTCAACATCACTCACTCAACAACCTCGCTCATTGTCAACTTCACTCAACAACCTCGCTCATTGTCAACATCACTCACTCAACAACCTCGCTCATTGTCAACATCACTCACTCAACAACCTCACTCATTGTCAACTTCACTCAACAACCTCACCCACCGTCAACATCACTCTCTCAACAACCTCGCTCATTGTCAACTTCACTCAACAACCTCGCCCACCGTCAACTTCACTCACTCAACAAGCTCGCTCGTTGTCAACTTCACTCAACAACCTCACCCACCGTCAACATCACTCACTCAACAACCTCGCTCATTGTCAACTTCACTCAACAACCTCACCCACCGTCAACATCACTCACTCAACAAGCTCGCTCATTGTCAACTTCACTCAACAACCTCACCCACCGTCAACATCACTCACTCAACAACCTCGCTCATTGTCAACATCACTCAACAAGCTCGCTCATTGTCAACTTCACTCAACAACCTCACCCACCGTCAACATCACTCACTCAACAACCTCGCTCGTTGTCAACTTCACTCAACAAGCTCGCTCGTTGTCAACTTCACTCAACATCCTCGCTCGTTGTCAACTTCACTCAACAACCTCACCCACCGTCAACTTCACTCACTCAACAACCTCGCTCGTTGTCAACATCACTCACTCAACAACCTCGCTCGTTGTCAACTTCACTCACTCAACAACCTCGCTCATTGTCAACTTCACTCAACAACCTCGCTCGTTGTCAACTTCACTCAACAACCTCGCTCGTTGTCAACATCACTCACTCAACAACCTCGCTCATTGTCAACTTCACTCACTCAACAACCTCGCTCATTGTCAACTTCACTCAACAACCTCACCCACCGTCAACATCACTCACTCAACAACCTCGCTCGTTGTCAACTTCACTTACTCAACAACCTCGCTCGTTGTCAACTTCACTCAACAACCTCGCTCATTGTCAACTTCACTCACTCAACAACCTCACTCATTGTCAACTTCACTCAACAACCTCACCCACCGTCAACATCACTCTCTCAACAAGCTCGCTCGTTGTCAACTTCACTCAACAACCTCACCCACCGTCAACTTCACTCACTCAACAACCTCGCTCATTGTCAACATCACTCACTCAACAACCTCACCCACCGTCAACTTCACTCACTCAACAACCTCGCTCGTTGTCAACTTCACTCAACAACCTCGCTCGTTGTCAACTTCACTCACTCAACAACCTCGCTCGTTGTCAACTTCACTCAACAACCTCGCTCGTTGTCAACTTCACTCAACAACCTCACCCACCATCAACATCACTCACTCAACAAGCTCGGTCATTGTCAACTTCACTCAACAACCTCACCCACCGTCAACTTCACTCACTCAACAACCTCGCTCATTGTCAACATCACTCACTCAACAACCTCGCTCATTGTTAACTTCACTCACTCAACATCCTCGCTCATTGTCAACTTCACTCAACAACCTCGCTCGTTGTCAACTTCACTCACTCAACAACCTCGCTCGTTGTCAACATCACTCACTCAACAACCTCACCCACCGTCAACTTCACTCACTCAACAACCTCGCTCGTTGTCAACTTCACTCAACAACCTCGCTCGTTGTCAACTTCACTCAACAACCTCACCCACCGTCAACATCACTCACTCAGCAACCTCGCTCATTGTCAACTTCACTCAACAACCTCGCTCGTTGTCAACTTCACTCAACAACCTCACCCACCATCAACATCACTCACTCAACAAGCTCGGTCATTGTCAACTTCACTCAACAACCTCACCCACCGTCAACTTCACTCACTCAACAACCTCGCTCATTGTCAACATCACTCACTCAACAACCTCGCTCATTGTTAACTTCACTCACTCAACATCCTCGCTCATTGTCAACTTCACTCAACAACCTCGCTCGTTGTCAACTTCACTCACTCAACAACCTTGCTCGTTGTCAACTTCACTCACTCAGCAACCTCGCTCGTTGTCAACTTCACTCAACAACCTCGCTCATTGTCAACTTCACTCAACAACCTCGCTCATTGTCAACTTCACTCAACAACCTCGCTCATTGTCAACTTCACTCACTCAACAACCTCGCTCGTTGTCAACATCACTCGACAACCTCGCTCATTGTCAACATCACTCACTCAACAACCTCGCTCATTGTCAACTTCACTCACTCAACAACCTCGCTCATTGTCAACTTCACTCAACAACCTCACCCACCATCAACATCACTCACTCAACAACCTCGCTCGTTGTCAACCTCACTGGACAACCTCGGTCGTTGTGTGTCTGTGAGTATATCTGTGTGCGTGCGTGTGTGGGGATGAGTGGTGCAACGGTTCGCTCTACGCTGCACTACGAACCCGGCGACCCGACCTCGAATCCCGCTCACGACCACCAACACCAGTGTCTCTTGCCTGAACCGGTCCTGGGCCTCCCCTAGGTTGACTCGGCCTCAAATGAGCACCTGGTGCGGTGTGTTAACATCGCTACTTGGGGTAGACAAAGGCGGTCGAAGTTGGTTGCTGGCCAGCCCACCCCCTCGTGTGCCCTGCGGCCTTCATAGCTGCTGCTACTCGCTACTAACAGCACTTGCCCCAGCAGTCTGTAGAGGCTACACGGAGGACCTTTGTCTGTGTCTACCTTCATAGGTGCTGCTGCTACTCGCTGCGAAGAGCACTTGCCCCAGCAGTCTGTAGAGGCTACACGGGGGATCTTTGTCTGTGTCTACCTTCATAGGTGCTGCTACTCGCTGCGAAGAGCACTTGCCCCAGCAGTCTGTAGAGGCTACAGGGGGGATCTTTGTCTGTGTCTACCTTCATAGCTGCTGCTGCTACTCGTTACTAACAGCACTTGCCCCTGCAGTCTGTAGAGGTTACACGGGGGATCTTTGTCTGTGTCTACCTTCAAAGGTGCTGCTGCTACTCGCTGCGAAGAGCACTTGCCCCAGCAGTCTGTAGAGGCTACACGGGGGATCTTTGTCTGTGTCTACCTTCATAGCTGCTGCTGCTACTCGCTACTAACAGCACTTGCCCCAGCAGTCTGTAGAGGCTACACGGGGGACCTTTGTCTGTGTCTACCTTCATAGCTGCTGCTACTCGCTACTAACAGCACTTGCCCCAGCAGTCTGTAGAGGCTACACGGGGGATCTTTGTCTGTGTCTACCTTCATAGCTGCTGCTACTCGCTACTAACAGCACTTGCCCCAGCAGTATGTAGAGTCTACACGGGGGATCTTTGTCTGTGTCTACCTTCATAGTTGCTGCTACTCGCTACTAACAGCACTTGCCCCAGCAATCTGTAGAGGCTACACGGGGGATCTTTGTCTGTATCTACCTTCGTAGGTGCTACTCGCTACTAACAGCACTTGCCCCAGGAGTCTATCAAGGTTACACGGGGGACTTTTGTCTTTGTATCTATATGCGTTTATATCTCTATGTATCTCTGTGTATATATCTCTACGTGTATGTAATCTGTGTATGTATAGCTATGCATATATCTACGTGTATGTGTATCGCTGTGTGTATATCTATACGTGTATATCTCCGTATATCTCGATGTGTATATCTCTAGATGTATATACAGTATATATATCTCTGTGCATATGTGATGAGTGACTTCCCAGACGCAACGTGTAGAGACGGCTTCTTATTGATTTCTCACACTGGGGCACAAACACCGGGCGACTAATAGAAACGTGTCCACACGGCCACGCTCAGCCGACCTCTCTACGTAGCCCCGTCGTCGGTGTCTAACTACACGGCTGGCGGACTAATGTAGCGACGACGACGACGACGATGGGAGCCGTCCAGGGGATCGGCCACACGGCCGGACGACGAGGAGAGAGGCGATGACGGTGAAGACGGTGATGTCAGCCCACGACAGCCCCGAACCTCCGGTCACGTCCCCCTTTATATACTCACCGGCGTGGCCAGGCCCCGCCTCCGGCCACGCCCCCCTTTATATACTCACCGGCGTGGCCAGGCCCCGCCACCGGCCACGCCCCCCCCCCTTTGTATACTCACCGGCGTGGCCAGGCCCCGCCCTTGGCCACGCCCCCTTCTAGAACCTTCGAGCAGGTTCCCGGAGCTTCCCGTCCGACCCCGCCTTTAACCTTTAACCTTTAACCTAGCTACGCCCCCCTTCTAGTTGGCTGTTATACAACGTGCCCATACCCGAGATTACCCCTCCTGGCCGAAAGGTGGCACCCTGTCATTACACCTATATCTGTATGTGTATCTCTATACATCTCTATGTGTATGTATCTCTTTGAGTAATTCTACGTGTATGCATCTATGAGTATCTCTGCGCGTGTATCTCCGCGTGTATCACGGTGTACGTAGGTAGCTGCCACTCGCTACGGGGCAAGCACTTGCCCCGTCAGCCTGCTTGAGGCTACGCGGGGGACCTTTGTCTTTGTAGGTACGAGCTGGGGGAGGCGCTGTACGTGGGCTGGGCAGGGTCGGCGCTCTGCGTGTCGGGGGGACTCATTCTGTGCACCGTGTGCTTCGCCAACGCTCGCTCCTCCGCGGCCGGGTGAGTCCTCCTCCACCGTGGGGCGCTCCTCCACCGTGGGGCGCTCCTCCATCCACGGGGTCCTCCTCCATCCACGGGGTTCTCCACCATCCGTGGGGTCCTCCGTCGTGGGGTCCTCCTCCGTCGCCGGGTCCACCTCCATCCGTGGGGTCCTAGCTCCATCCGTGGGGTCCTCCTCCACCATGGGGCGCTCCTCCATCCACGGGGTTCTCCTCCATCCGTGGGGTTCTCCTCCATCCGTGGGGTCCTCCGTCGTGGGGTCCTCCTCCGTCGTCGGGTCCACCTCCATCCGTGGGGTCCTAGCTCCATCCGTGGGGTCCTCCTCCACCATGGGGCGCTCCTCCATCCACGGGGTTCTCCTCCATCCGTGGGGTTCTCCTCCATCCGTGGGGTCCTCCGTTGTGGGGTCTTCCTCCGCCGTGGGGTCCTCCTCCGTCGTGGGGTCCTCCTCCGCCATGGAGTTCTCCTCCATCCGTGGGGCGCTCCTCCATCCGTGGGGTCCTCCTCCGCCGTGGGGTCCTCCTCTGCCGTGGGGTCATCTCCATCATTGGGGGGCCCTCCACAGTAATACACCTCCATCATGGAGTCATCTTCATCGCGAGGCCCTCCACCGTGGGGTCATCTCCACCGTGGGGTCATCTCTACCTTGGTGGCCCTCCATAGTAATACCCCTCCGTCGAGCGACGTCCGGTGACGTCACGTGACGTCCAGTGACATCACGCGACGCCCAGTGACGTCACGCGACGCCCAGTGACGTCCGGCGACGTCACTTGAGGTCAAGTGACGTCACGTGACGCCCAGTGACGTCACCGGACGCCCAGTGACGTCCAGCGATGACGTCACCGTACTTCCAGCGACGCTGCGTGACGTCTCCCGACGTCCCCCCCCCCCCGTTGTCGCCCGCTCCTCGCCGTCAGCAGGTTGGAGAAATATTTGGCCGTGGGGCCTCCGCCGACCACGGCCGCCGCTGGCGGGGCCTCCACCGCGACGGCGCCGGTCGCCGCCGGCGCCGGCGTGCCGGCGAGCGCCGGCGCAGGCGACGCCGCGTTCGCCGCCGGAGCCGGGATGATGGACGTGGCAGCGAGAGGAGTTGGAGGCGGAGGAGCGGGTGGCATGGCCGTGCCAATGATGGGCGGTCCGGCGTTGCCGTTGATGGGCGGCGGCGGCGGTGGCGGCGGTGGCGGGAGCCTGGCGATGCTGGCAGGAGGAGGAGGGCACCAGCTGCAAGGGAACTGGGAGCTACAGCAGCAACAGCAGCAGCAGCAGCAGTTTCAGCAGCAGCAGCAGCTTCAGCAGCAGCAGCAGCAGCTTCAGCAGCAGCAGCAGCAGTGAGTTGGGGAGTCTCTGTCGAGTGGATCAGCATTCTTGGATACGAACAGTGTGAACGAAAGGGAGGCAGTAAAATAAATAAATAAAATGGAACAATAAAATTCTCACGACGTTTCGACTGCAACACGAGCAATCATCACACCTGATGATGATTGCTTGCGTCGCACCTGATGGTGATTGCTTGCGTCGCACCTGATGGTGATTGCTTGCGTCGCACCTGATGGTGATTGCTTGCGTCGCACCTGATGATGATTGCTTGTGTTGCAGTCGAAACGTCGTGAGAATTTTATCGTTTTTTATATATTTTTTTCATTTTATTGTTTCCCTTCTACGTGGTGGTGACTTTACCGAAAGAACCAAGAATATGAATCCCTGCAGTCACGAAAGCTTTAAATCAAAATTTTAAGCGTGGACGAAGTTCAACGTGCACATATGTAATGGGGGGTTCGATCGAGGCACACACTCAACTTGGAGGCAACACTGTTCATTAACACGAAACATTGACACGGACACTCTCCATAAGGTGGTGACCACCTTCTCTCACTAACACTCGGGAGCATTACCGCATCTTCCCGCAGACAGCCCGCAGACGCATATACCCCGCAAAAATCGCGTTTTTGTGTAAAACGAATTTCGGATAGCCCGCACCTCCATATACCCCGCAGGGTCTTGTTTTGTTTGTAAAAAGTGGAATACCCCGCGGGCTATGTGCGGGAAAACACGGTACGCATAGCGTGACCAAGGCAGGGTTACAGCTGCCTAGTCACAAACGACGATCGGAGACTCGAGGGCTTCCCGGAGTAGAACAATCCCGCTCCCCGTTCACGCCGCGCTCATAACCTCTCCGGCGTGACCGGCTCCGCCCCAGGCCACGCCCCCCCTTCTCGATCCTTCGGGAAGGTCCGCCCCCTCCTTCCCCCTCCCCCAAGCTCCCCCCCTGGGGCCCCTGGCCCTCCTTTGGGCGGTCACGTGTCCTGTTGGGTTCACGTGGAGTGCCAAGGCCTGACACGACCCTCCGTGACTAACCGCCCACACGATAGTGACGTCATATGTCCCTACGCTCGTACAGCCCCGACATAGTAGTGACGTCATGTGTCACTACACATACACACGTCTCTCCTCCTCATCCTTCTCTCTCTCTCTACCTCTTCTCTTCCTATCTCTCTCGCTCCCATTGCCTTCAATCCTTCATCGCTCCCTCTCCGTCTCTCCTCCCTCTCTCTCTCTCTCCCCCCTCAATCTCATCCCACTCTCTCACCTCCCTCTCCCGTCTCTCTCCTCCCTCTCAATCTCATCCCTCTCTCTCACCCCCATCTCTCTCCCCCCTCAATCTCATCCCTCTCTGTCACCCCCCTCTCCCGTCTCTCTCCTCCCCCATCACTCTCCTCTCTCTCTCACCCCCGTCTCTCTCCTCCCTCAATCTCATCCCTCTCTCTCACCCCTCTCCCGTCTCTCTCCTCCCTCAATCTCACCCCTCTCTCCCGTCTCTCTCCTCCCTCAATCTCATCCCTCTCTCTCACCCCCCCTCTCCCATCTCTCTCCTCCCTCTCAATCTCATCCCTCTCTCTCACCCCTCTCTCCCATCTCTCTCCTCCCTCAATCTCATCCCTCTCTCTCACCCCCCCTCTCCCATCTCTCTCCTCCCTCTCAATCTCATCCCTCTCTCTCACCCCCCCTCTCCCATCTCTCTCCTCCCTCTCAATCTCATCCCTCTCTCTCACCCCTCTCTCCCATCTCTCTCCTCCCTCAATCTCATCCCTCTCTCTCACCCCCCCTCTCCCATCTCTCTCCTCCCTCAATCTCATCCCTCTCTCTCTCACCCCCATCTCTCTCGTCCCTCAATCTCATCCCTCTCTCTCACCCCTCTCCCGTCTCTCTCCTCCCTCTCAATCTCATCCCTCTCTCTCACCCCATCCTCTCCCGTCTCTCTCCTCCCTCAATCTCATCCCTCCCTCTCACCCCTCTCCCATCTCTCTCCTCCCTCAATCTCATCCCTCTCTCTCACCCCTCTCCCATCTCTCTCCTCCCTCAATCTCATCCCTCTCTCTCTCACCCCACCCTCTCCCGTCTCTCTCCTCCCTCAATCTCATCCCTCTCTCTCACCCCTCTCCCATCTCTCTCCTCCCTCAATCTCATCCCTCTCTCTCACCCCACCCTCTCCCGTTTCTCTCCTCCCTCAATGTCATCCCTCTCTCTCACCCACCTCTCCCGTCTCTCTCCTCCCTCAATCTCATCCCTCTCTCTCACCCCTCTCTCCCGTCTCTCTCCTCCCTCAATCTCATCCCTCTCTCTCACCCCCTCTCCCCCTCTCTCCTCCCTCTCAATCTCATCCCTCTCTCTCACCCCCCTCTCCCATCTCTCTCCTCCCTCAATCTCATCCCTCTCTCTCACCCCACCCTCTCCCGTCTCTCTCCTCCCTCAATCTCATCCCTCTCTCTCACCCCCCTCTCCCATCTCTCTCCTCCCTCAATCTCATCCCTCTCTCTCACCCCCCCTCTCCCATCTCTCTCCCTCTCAATCTCATCCCTCTCTCTCACCCCCCTCTCCCGTCTCTCTCCTCCCTCTCACTCTCATCCCTCTCTCTCACCCCTCTCCCATCTCTCTCCTCCCTCAATCTCATCCCTCTCTCTCACCCCCTCTCCCCCTCTCTCCCGTCTCTCTCCTCCCTCAATCTCATCCCTCTCTCTCACCCCCCCTCTCCCATCTCTCTCCTCCCTCTCAATCTCATCCCTCTCTCCCCCTCTCTCCCCCCCCCCCCCTCTCCCATCTCTCTCCTCCCTCAATCTCACCCCTCTCTCCCGTCTCTCTCCTCCCTCAATCTCATCCCTCTCTCTCACCCCCCCTCTCCCATCTCTCTCCTCCCTCTCAATCTCATCCCTCTCTCTCACCCCCCCTCTCCCATCTCTCTCCTCCCTCTCAATCTCATCCCTCTCTCTCACCCCCCTCTCCCGTCTCTCTCCTCCCTCAATCTCATCCCTCTCTCTCACCCCCCTCTCCCATCTCTCTCCTCCCTCAATCTCATCCCTCTCTCTCACCCCTCTCTCCCATCCCTCTTCTCCTTCAATCTCATCACTCTCTCTCACCCCCCTCTCCCATCTCTCTCCTCCCTCTCAATCTCATCCCTCTCTCTCACCCCCCTCTCCCGTCTCTCTCCTCCCTCAATCTCACCCCTCTCTCTCACCCCCCCTCTCCCATCTCTCTCCTCCCTCTCAATCTCATCCCTCTCTCCCCCCTCTCCCCCCCCCCCTCTCCCATCTCTCTCCTCCCTCTCAATCTCATCCCTCTCTCTCACCCCTCTCTCCCATCTCTCTCCTCCCTCAATCTCATCCCTCTCTCTCTCACCCCCCCTCTCCCATCTCTCTCCTCCCTCTCAATCTCATCCCTCTCTCTCACCCCCCCTCTCCCATCTCTCTCCTCCCTCTCTCTCATCCCTCTCTCTCACCCCCCCTCTCCTATCTCTCTCCTCCCTCTCAATCTCATCCCTCTCTCTCACCCCTCTCTCCCATCTCTCTCCTCCCTCAATCTCATCCCTCTCTCTCTCACCCCCCCTCTCCCATCTCTCTCCTCCCTCTCAATCTCATCCCTCTCTCTCACCCCCCCTCTCCCATCTCTCTCCTCCCTCTCAATCTCATCCCTCTCTCTCACCCCCCTCTCCCATCTCTCTCCTCCCTCAATCTCATCCCTCTCTCTCTCACCCCCCCCTCTCCCATCTCTCTCCTCCCTCTCAATCTCATCCCTCTCTCTCACCCCCCCTCTCCCA